AGCGGGCTCATCTAGAGCCTATTACCTGTCGATTTACGCAAAAATCATGGAAATCGGCCCAGTAGAATGCTCAAACGAACTATGACAAAACACATAAATTTACATTGTTTATATGGGAGAATTCGCAACTTTACCACGTAATATAAAAAAACCTAGGCCATATTTTGAAAATCTGAAAAGAGTTGGCTTATTTAGAGACAATTGCCCGTCGATAGCCGCAAAAATCATGAAAATCGGCCCGGTGGAACGCTGGAACTAAGCGTCACCAGTTTCGCAAAATTAGGAGGTCTTGGAGCTTATAGTATAGATAGCCTTCTTTCTCGCGACCAATGAAAAACCGGCACATAAATGGCCATACTATGTCTATAAAGGTACTCTAGTAATTCCTATCCTCGTTGTTTACATAGTATCGCCGGGTCCCCATGGATCGGAAACAATCGATTATGTATCGAAAAAGTGACCCAGCGTGACACAGGAGTCTCGGAATTCGGGACCTGGAAAATTTTTCAAATTTTCCAGCTCTCCCACTTACATTACGACGCCATAAAGGAAATACGCCTTATGAACATTCGAGAGTTGCCAAATTTCCTCCAGTAAAATTTTAATTTTTATACGGGGGTTATGCATAATTCCTCTGGAAATTTTCAGATGATTCAGGTCTGATCGCGAATACGATTCTCGGAGAAATAAAAAAAAAAAAATTCGCAGAATTCCCTGAAAATTTATATGTTATTAAAAAAAGTTGGCAACGTCTGATGGCTCATACAGCGTTTTTCCTTTAGCACGGCAGTGTGGACGCACGTGCTATGGTTCGGATTTAAACTGTTGTCCCGAATAATAAACGATTCTTAAAATCTTGCTGAACTATTGGAAATATTTTTTTAGCCATCTGGGTAACGAAACATTTTATGAGAGAGTAGAAATCATTAAAAGCTTTTTTTTTAAAAAAAAACAAAAAAGAAAGAAAATGTGATAAAAAGTATAAAAGAACAACGGAATAGAGAGAAAGAGAGTATTCAAATGATGTGCTTGGCACCATGACGTCAAACTGCAAATGGGAAAAAAAAACGACTGAAATACTGATAGAAGAACGATGTTTCAAATTCCGATGTTACCAAACGTTGCCGATAAACATTAATTTACGAGGAAAGTATTAAATATCTTATGCATTGAAATTTACCAGTGCTTTACACCGAAATTAAAAAAAAAAATCGATACAGAATTGGGGGGAAAAGTATTTCAAAATTTTTCCAGAAAATTGGTTCATTATCAGGGGAGATTTCGTAACATCCGGCGTTTTTCTTTAGCAAGGAAAAATGCTGCTGCTAGAAAACGAACGTTACAAAAACAACCGGATATAGCCAAATTTATTTGGATATTATTCAATTTAAATTAGAATGTTTTCTCTTTGAATTTTTCAGAGAATTTTTCTCGCAATTTATTAAAGTGCATATGAAAATTTCATGTGAAAATTGGCATGACTATTCCTGAAATAAATATTTTATCGAAAAAATGTCGGCAAAAGAACGCTTGATTGCTGCTACGACGCTCTGCTCTACTGCCATGCCAAGGGAGAACGCCGTATGAGCCTTTAAACGTTGCCAAGTTTCCTCCGATAAAACCGAATCTACTGGGAAAATTGTGAACATTATTTTCCAAGATTTTCAGACAATTTTGTGCGCAATTTAATCAAAAATATCTGAAAATTCCGAGGATAAATATGCATGAATGTCGTCAAAAATACATGTTTTATCAAGGAGAATTTGGCAACCCTCGAATGTTCATACGGCGTTCCTCCTTGGCACGGCAGTCTAGTGTGGCGGAGCATTTTCCACGTCAGTTCAAATCCATTTGTTTTTTGCTGAGGTACATCAGACATAAGTGCAATTTTTAGAAACAGACATGCGCCCCTATTTTAGCGGTGTAGAAAACATTCGACGGTGTAAGTCGGCAATCACATAACTCGTTTGCGGTGCCTGAAAATCTCCGCCTCTATGTTATTTTTTTAAAGGAGAACAAATTGACATCATTCCTTGAAGTTTTTGCAGAATTTTCCTTGCACGGAGAAGAAAAATCACGGCAGTTTTAGAGAATTGCCGTTGAGTAGTTTTCCGTTTAAAAAATAAAGTATGACAGGGAGTCTGCGACGTCGCAAACCGAGTTATGTGATTGCCGACTTACAACGTCGATACGTGTATCTACCACTTACAAAAAAGAGCCTGCATGCATGAAGAATGCTCGCGCTTTAACCCCAGTACCGCAACCTGTGTAAAACGAGGGCCTTTTACGCTAACGGCATGAATTTTCGATTGATGAACGAATTGGAGAGAAAGTATCCCAGAAATTCACTCAAGCCCGAGGATTCAGGATTAAAAGTGTGACGTCCGACACATTATTTCATCGAACACGCATGCGAGCGTATTAATATTCGAATGCGAAGTTTCTCTCTATTTTTCAGCAGAGTGCTCGGTGGTGTTTTCATTCTGCGTATCCGAGTGCGTGCAAAGCTTAATTTTGAAAAATTCAAAAATTAAAACTCTGCGGGGGGCTGAGACACTCAGCGGAGGCACTATTTGGGCGCTAGATTGCACGAACGGTCGTACGTGCAATTTTGCACGGATTCTCTTTAAAAAGCACGTGGAATGTGATCAAAAGTGATATCTGTGACATTTTGTTTACCCGTATTGGTACCGTTGTTGTCAACCCATAAAGTATGCTATATTTTATCACCTCATTATTTTACTTTTTTTATTTTTGGCTGTTTTAATGACTATGACCATTAATATCACTCGTAGTTGATTTTTGACGCTATTTTCGTACGTTGACGTCATATTTTGTTTAGATCCGCGTTCTGGAATTTTTTATTTTTGGGGATCAATAAGTCTGAAAGGAAGCTATTTTCTTAAGCAAACCCACTCTTTAGTTCTAAAGATCGTATTCGATACATCAAACAAGTAAGATTGAATCGATATCGATTGGTTCAACGTGTAAACATAGCCCCAAAGTCAAGTGAGAAATCTGAAGGAACGGGTTTTTTGTGATAGATTTTTGATTCTTATGAATAAAAAATGGCTATGAAAAGTACAATTGTTAGGAATTTTCTCATTTTCAGCTTTTCCAACCGAAATCCTAAGACTATCTTGTGCGAGGGCATGTTCTATTGTTTTGAATCAAACGATACATTGAACGACTATCGAATACTATCTATAGAATTTTATCTTCACTGCTCAAAATCGAAAAACTCGAACTCATGCGACCTATTTACTGACCCGGTGTCTAGTAAATACGGAAAAAGTCATTCACAAAACTTTTTCCCCCAGAAGAGTGAAGTAAACTTTATCTTTGAAGATAGATTTACCTTTTTTTGAGAAATTTGCAACGTGGAGGCAAAAAGCGTAGCATCATTCATCCTTTGCGCACGGTGCTCTTGAATTTTTTCAATGTAGCAAGTAAGCTCTTCAGTATTCTTGTACGCCACAACTTCCTGAAAAAAAGGCATTTTAGAGATAATAATGCACAAATGTAATCGGTTTTCAAAAATCAAACATGAGGGGATGCGATTCAATTATAACGAAATCATATTAATTATATATTATGATTGCGTAAATAGAAAGCCACGAATTTTTCGAAACCTTATAAACTTCCTGACACAATTAAACTCTAATATTTTTGGTTCAATTCATATTTTTGAGAATCCAGGCAGAGAAATCAATTGGTGTGCGCTGTATTATCAAGAGAGCAACTCTCTACTCATTATATTAAAGAAAATTTCCACAACTACTTTATACACTACTTTTATACTTTTTTCAATTTTTTAAATAATATTAATGATTTTTACATGCTCAAACGCAAATGAGGAGCTCGAAGGACGAGGCGCATAAGTGCAATTTTCGCTATTTGAGAAATACGTGTTTGAAGTATCGCAAGTACATTGATCCTTATGACAGGAAAAAAGTTCAAGCCGACTGTTTGATACTTTGAAAATTGGAATTTGGGAGCGAATGTTTCACAGAATATGCATTAAGACTAGTTTTACTTGAAATCATTAGTATCTCATTTTTTTCAAAAATGTTACTTATGCACCGTGTTCTCCAAACCTCTCGAATGATATGGGATCGAATAGTCTTTTTTAGTGCTTTCAAATAATACATGCTATCATCGATAAACCAAGATAGTGGTAATGGCAAGAACGCTCAACAGAGAAGATTTGAAGTTATAAAACTGGACCTCCATCGGAAACATGTCGTTTTGTTATGACGGAGGTTGGTATCATTTCTAAAGCGATTACAAATTCGCCTTTAACATGATATGCTTGATGTGAGAGTCAAAATCTTCTAAGTTTCTACAGAAGCGGCGCCTTAAGTTGACGAAATAAATTGGAGCATACATCGATCGATTCTTATGTTGAGTGGTATCACACTTAATTGAAGGCGCATCGACCCACTTGTACAGAGCATGACATGGACCCAAAGACAGACCGTTGTACCAAATCCACTTTTGACTTTTTCATTCATTCTTTCACAAGTTTTCATCAAAGAATGACAGTGCGGTTAAAGTTAAGTTTTATGCTGTAAATGGTTTCATCCAAAAGTGGCATAATTGCTATACTGAGCAATGGGGGAATGGTGAAAGAATGAACCGATAAATACATAAATAAATAGTTTAATCATGAAAATGAGTGGAGGATGGGCAGCAGATCAAAGGCTGCGAGCACTTTAAGTACTTGGGCGTGCGGTTGACCCAGGATGGAAGGACGGATCAAGCTATCAGGGAAAGGAACACCTTAGCAAGGAAGGCTATAGCGATGTTAAATGGAATCCTCTGGGATCAGCGGATTTCCAAAGATAACAAGAGGAGGATATACAACGCTGTAGTCAAAAGTATATTAACATACGGATGTGAAGTTTGGCAGCTGAAGAAACGGACACAGGATATGCTAAGAGCAACGGAGATGGATTTCTGGAGAAGGTCAGCAGGAATTTCTAGGAGAGATCGGGTCCGTAATGATAGAGTGCGTCAGATAATGGAAGTCGAAAATGACATCGTGTTCGACGTCATGACCAAACAACTTGTTTGGTATGGTCATGTCAATAGGATGACGGAAGAGAGGCTGCCAAAAAAGATGCTTGATTGGGTTCCTCCTGGGAGGAGACGTAGGGGACGCCCAGTGAGAGGTTGGCGACAGGGGGTGTTAAATGAGATAAGAGATTGTCAACTCCCTGATGACCTGTGGGAAGACCGAGCTTTGTGGCGATTAGGCGTCGCACATCGCCAAAGAGCGCTATAAAAGCGACTCATATATATATATCATGAAAAACCATAAGAACGGGGTACCCTTGTACACGTATACGTAGTCACATGAAAATTATAATAAGAAAAATGGACGCTTTAACTCACTTGCACTATATGTAGATGCCTACAAAAAAAGTGTTGTTGTACTCGTATTTTGTGCACGGTGCATGTGAGTTACATTTTTGTCAATTTTTGGTTTTTTATAATTTTTACGGGAGATATTTGGTGATAATTAATGAACTGGCTTGATCTAGAAGATGCTCACTTTTTTTGCCGCGTGCGTATCAGGTTTTATTTTCCGTCTGAATTATTCAGCGCAAGTGCATCTCCGTTAATAACGCAATGCATCAGAAGAAAAATAAACTTTTTTGAGTCAAGGCTTGTTGACGGTAAGTGAAACGTTACGTCGTCCACGCGTGAGTGAGAGATGCACTTACCTGTAGACAGACACGGACTCTTCATCATGCCAAGAAAAGAGAAAAACCATCCAACTTATTGCATGTCAACGTTGTCATTTTTCTTTTTTCTAATGTTTATTTAAGAGATTTAAAAAACCAAACTCATAGTGTAATTATCATGAGTAAGTACGGACCATTCCACGAGAAAGGCCCGGGACTTCTGATAAAAATTATTTTCATTTTTTTCTCCAAATTCAACTGCTCCAAAAAATTAGTAAAAACATATCGTGTCAGACATCTAAAGACTGACTTTACAAGAAAAAATTCGCTAGACGAAAACATTTTTAGCTAAAAAATATGTAAAGTTGAACGTGAATAACTAAAAATAATTCGCAAACAATATTATTTCTTGTAAAATTTGCCCTAAGGAATAGGCAGATCATCACAGAACTTTCAAAAATCCCTGGAATCAGTCGGACTTTGTCAAATATATTAAGCGCATGGCTAATTTTGATAAATGAGAGGAAAACTTCAGTTTCTAAAGAAATCTGCAGGTTTTGACTCCCTTCCAAAGGTTGTAACATGGTACTCGAAGAAAACTTTCTTGTTTCATCGATAGAAATTCCAATTAATAATTCTTGGACGGGAGTTCTCGTTAAGAAAACAGAAAATATTCCTGTATTAACGGTATTTCTGTTATTTCAAATAGCCGTCTTGCCCCTTCACTGGAAAAAAGTCGTTTGGATCTAGAGTCCAGACTCTTAATAACATCGACAAGAAAAAATAATCTTGATTCAATCCGACTTTTTCTTGAATTGGAGAGCCAAGCTTCTTGATTTAGGCGGATTTCTTTTTGATTCAAGCAAAAAGTCTGATTGAATCAAGAGTATTTTTTCTTGTCAATGTTTTTAAGAGTCTGGACTCAAGATTCAAGCTACTTTTTTTCCAGTGTTTGAAGAAATTTAAGTACGGTTGACGATTCGAAGAGAATTCTCATTTGGGCATTGGCGGATCCAGGAAGTGGGAAAACTACTTTTCACCATTTGAATCTACGGAAATGTATTGATTCTGGTAGGGGTCAGATGCCCCAATAAGAATCGATTGTTCAACACACTTTTAAATGGAGGATGAAGAAAAGGCAGTGTTGCAAAACTTCTGGATCCGCCCCTGCGTCTTCGGTAATCATTTACTGGAAACTTTTTCTCGGCATGTACGTAACCATTGTGACAAAAATAATAGTTACAATTTTTACGGAGAAATTTCGATGGTTTCTAACTTGTATCAGTTGGTTTTCATTTTTTCTTCTTTAGGAATCATTATGACTTTCATATGACAGTTTTCTGTCGCTCTCATTTCTTTTTTTTTTTTTTTTTTTTTTTTTTTTTTTTTTTTTTTTTTTT